CTTTTCTAAGTAAATAAAACACTTGTTGTTAAAAAAAACGTTGTGTGCTTTCTTGTCACTAAAAACAATGGGGCGTCAGATTTTATAAATTACCTTTTTCCTCCTCTTAGCAATCAGCTCTAACCAGTCAGGCCTGCAAAGCCGTTAAAATTATGAAACATGAAAAAAAAAAAAATTATATTGGATAATCATTATCTTGTTTAAAAGGGAAAATATTCCATTACATTATAAAGTTATATTCACCAGATCTGTTAGAGTGCAGTATATTGGGATTGAGATACATGTTAGTGTGTTTTCCATATTTTTTCCGGATGAAAACAGATTCATCCATGGCCAGATTAACCTTTCAGGGGCCCCCAGGGCAAACACTTTGCTGTTGGGCCTCTTCCTGCAGACCTCTAAGGGTTTAGGACCCCTAGGGGTGTGAGGCCCCTGATGATGGTGCGGACCGTTGGTAATCCAGTCTTGGATTTAACTGAAAATAAATTAGTGTCCGGAGTCTGCATTCCAGAAGAACTTAAGCCAAATGATCTTATTTATTATTCCTTTTCAAACATGTTTCAGCTTCTGTATTTCTCAATGACTGCCACGACAATTGTACAATTTGTTTGGGGAATGCTAATAAAGCATGCTAATCAGAGAAGAAGTGAAAGTACAGACTTTCTCAAAGGCAAGTCAGACAAACAAAAGCTGAACCACACTTAAAAAGATTGATTGTTTTTTAAATACATGTGAAAGATATAGAACTTAAACAGAGATATTAACGCTGTGTGTGTGTGTGTGTGTGTGTGTGTGTGTGTGTGTGTGTGTGTGTGTGTGTGTGTGTGTGTGTGTGTGTGTGTGTGTGTGTGTGTGTATTGTATATTTGTAAACACCTGTTATTAATAGGATCATGGACTTATCAGCATGCATTTAACTGCATTTAAATGATCGCATCTTGTCTCTCTAATGCTTTGGACAAGGTTCAACACTGGCTGACCAACATTTGCTTACAGTTAAATGTAAAAAAAACAGTATGCATGATGTTCAGTAAACGACCAGTCAAAATCGAAGGATCCAACGTGTTTTTAAACGGAGCAGAAATAGAACTCTCCCACTTCAAGTATCTTGGAGTCATACTGGACTCGAACTTGACTTTTAAGAAACATATCCAGAAAGTATCCAATACCGTTAAATTCAACTTGCAAAATGTTAAACAAATTAGACCCTTCTTAACTGTCAATGCTGCAAACTCATACCTCCACTGTATGCTTCTATCCCACATTGAATACTGTTTTACAAACTGGTCGTTTGCTTGTGCCACAAACCAGAAACCAATAGAACAGCTGTACAAGAGAGCTATCCAGGTGTCTGACAGAAAGCCATATTCATACCACCACTGTACCATCCTTGAAAAACACAATTTCTTGAGTTTTGACAATTTTAAGTCTTTTAAAAGTATGTGTGTTTACATGGACTGGCCCCCCCTCCCTTAGGGGAATTCATCCACAGAAAACACACTGGACGCTGCACTAGGTCAGAAACCAGAGGAGATTGTGAGGTCCACCGTAGACGGACCACTTATGGACAAAAATGTCCTATCCATTAAAGGCAGCTCACTCTGGAATAGCCTCCCAACTGAGATACAGGATTGTCCCACTCTCAATAGCTTCAAAGGTCAACTCAAAGAATGGATGAGAAACCAACAGACGTGCAATCACCGCTAAATGCACTTTAACACAGGGGTATCTCCTCTTGCACTTTAGGTAGCACTTTAATCTTCTCTTGCACTTTATATGTCGTTGCTGCTATATTGTATTACCATGACATAAATACTTGTGTATGCTGCTCTTGCTCTTTTGCACTTTTGGCATATCATGTATTTTGTTTTTGCTATGTTTGTAAAATGTAAACTCCTTAAATGTTTTATGTGAGGGACTGCGGATGGAATTTAGCTCAGAGCTAAATCTGGCACTGTTACGCTTGATACATTTGAATGTTTTAAGTGTTCATTACTGTGCATTGTCCCTGCAAAATAAACGATTAAATAAATAAATAAACTGACATTCTCCTCGTGGTGATATTAAGTTGCCACAGAAAATACGGTTGACTCTAAGCCATCAAAACATTATGAATCCTCAGTGGGAAATATTGGCCTACATTTTGGCCACAGATACTCAGCTTTCGTTCCAATATCAAAGTGTTTTCTTACCGTCCACTTGTTGTTGTTGATTGATAGCTAGCTCCTCTTGCTCATGTTTTCAACAGATCCAATAACAGGTTGCCAGGTTGGTGCAACCGTCTGCCCAACATCGCATGCAGGGGATTTCACTGAGCCAACCTCTCTCCAAAGAAATGTTGAACCTGGCTACATTTTTAGCTGGACTGCAACACAAGGTCATAAATTATCCGTGGTGGTGGTGGGGGAATAAAATGTGATTTAAGGATATCCTCAAAGGCTTAGTAAGATTTGTATCCCAACCTGCTGAGAGGAAAACTGAACGTAAGACTCAACTGAAGCTTTGATCCTGCAGTCTAGATAAACTGCTGGAGATTAACAGACAAATCCAAATTGGACCCACTGCACATAAGAAACTTGTTATCATCTTTTAGACAATCTCAAATGGGTTTTTGTTTCAACACTTGCTGTTCATTAATTATGATTTTTTTTTTCTTCACTTATTTCTATCAACTATAGGAGGGAAACTATTTAGGTTGTAAGTTACATTTCCCTTGCTTAACAGACCAGCATACATATTGATGATATACTTGACTTGCTTCTACTTCTGCATGATTACATGTTCTGTGTGTCTCTTATAATCTTAGGTGAGGTTCAACTCTCATGACAGACCACATTGATGAATCCTCTCAGGGGTTCTTCAGAAAACCCTGCATGTTGATGTGATATATTCCTCTGAAAGACTAGATTTTGGGGGGATGGTTCATATGTTAATCTTATTTACATCTGAAAGCCAGGGATGTGAAAGTCATGGGTGAATGAAGCGTGCAAGTGAAGAGGTTTTCCCACTGACACGGGATTCCTTTGGAAGGCTAAGGCTGTCCACATCAAGAGAAAACCTCCTTCTCTCTGACAAATCAACTGGGTGGAAATAAATGATATTTGCTTGATCATATCATAACACATCTGTTTCAGCAACTGTTTATATTTTTATTTGAGGCACTTTCAAACTGATATATACCAAAAAAAGCACTGTAATGAAAAAACATCCAGATCAAAAGTGAATGTTATCTGCATGTGATTATGTTGTATTACATCTTAGCTCTTAACACAAAGACCTATCCGCTTATGTCAATAGCTTTCATGTATTTAGCTAATTTTGTTTCATCAATTGGCTAAATGTTCTCGAATATAATTTGGAAAAGAGGTAAACCCGTTGAACTGCAGCATTTAAAGATATTTTTTATATTTAGATTGTGATTTATATTTATTCCACTAGCTACATTTTTTACTTATTCCCCCATTGCATAACACAAATAATGTGTTTCTAAGGCTGTTGCTGATGAATGACCAAATACTGCTGTGTATTTTAATTATAATATAGCTCTGTTTCAGTTAGTCCACTCATATTGACTATACTTCATATGAATGTAGGATATGTGCAGATGTTTGGCGTCTGGAGATGGATGTAGGGGCTTAAGAAATGCTGCAGCACAGTATAAGTTATGAACATGCCAAGTCCAAAAAGATTTTTCATCAAATTAAATATTGTTTGACAAGAGTTGTCAGGCCCATAGAGCTGCTCCTACTCATAAGGTTATAAAAGCATAAACTTTGTCCTTCCTGTCAGTTCTTCACGATTATCTCTCCACTCTCCTATCATATGTACTTTATGATGTGCACTAATTTGCTGCACAGCTCTTCGAGGCTGCCCTTCGGAAGTATTACGTCCTTCAACCTCTCAATCATGTTATCATGTCTCATCTCATTTGTCTTGACTGCAAATGATAGTCACATAGCAACATATCCGTAAAAATGGTTTTGAATGTTTCAAAAGGTCTCCAGCTGACCTCAGATAGATAGAAATGACTGTTCATTTTGAGAAGTTAAAGAAATAACTGAATTTGAAAAAGCAAGATACGTATATATATTAGAATTGCTAGAAATGTCTTTTACAAAGAAGAATGGTCTTCCTTTTGGGTGGACCCTTGTTGCCACAGTCAAAGGTAATGCTTTGACAGGTTTCTCTATATATCTTCTGACAAGAAGACAAGAAGCAGTGTGACCCTTTAACCCATCAGTCTGTTCACACAGACACACTGAGAGGCAGAATGGGAAACTGGTTTCCTTGCTGAGAATTCAAAAGATCCCATTTCCTTCACAGCGGCATATGAGTGATGTTGGCTTCAATGCAGCCTTCCCTGCATGACACATGCTCAGAATAGAAGAAGATGGAAAGATAGGGAAACCTTTGACAAAGACCTGCCACAAGTAATGGGCAGGGAGTGTCCTTCACACATCTGGATGCTGTTCACAGCTTGGATTCCACATTTGCCTGGAAATAAGCCAAATAACCTTAAAAGATATCATTTTTAAAGCTCTGGATACCCTTTTTTGATTTAATGTTACAGCAATCATAATTGAAATTGCAGATTAAAGACGAAGCATTGATTGAATTATGCTTGCAAATTGCTGATTGCTGCGTGAGAAATGTTGCACTTAAATGTGCACAAACCTTGCTATTTTTTATCTGATCAATTATCTACATATAACATTTCTAATTCACTCGGTTCTTCTCTCATAAAGTAACAGTTTGAAGTATATTTAATGAGTTGTGATTAACAGTAAAAGCAGCACTCTGTTTCACTTGTACTGAAGAGAAGTTCATTCTCATTGGTTGAAATCAACACCTCATCAGGCCTGATGTTATCCAAAGTAACCCACTTTTGTGTTTTCAATTGGGTTTCTGTTTGAAGCAAATATCAGCCACAGCAAAGGTGTATCACTTATAACTGCCCAGAATATGTCTGTTAGCATGAAGTGGACGGTTCTCTGAGTAGCCATGGCAGAAATTAAAACAGGGGCACTTTGGAGGGCAGTTCTGGCTGAGTCTCTGGGAATGATCATCTTTATCTTCATCGGCCTCTCAGCTGCAATAGGGGACCGAAATAATGCTTACCCTGACCAGGAGATAAAGGTTGTGTTAGCCTTTGGCTTGGCCGTGCAACATTGGCCCAGTGTATCGGTCACATCAGCGGTGCCCACCTGAATCCTGCCATCACCCTCGGCCTCCTGGCCTGCTGCCAGATAAGTATGCTCAGGGCCTTTTTTTTTTTTTGTATTCTCTTTTTATTCAGCTTTTCACATGTTTACAGTCATAGATAATACAATATTCTCTGTAAGCCTTCTGTAGTTAACACTGAAATCACAAATCAAATGTACATATTTGTGGACAATACTGACCTTCAAACATGCTAACATAGAAAGAACATAAACACGAACAGGGTTATGGGGTGTGCCTGCAACTTATTCAAACAAGTGGGGGATAGAAATAAAAATATTAAAAACAAAAATATATAAAGGTCCCTTCTAGACAAATGATGGTCGTATTGGTGTAACATATATTATCCATTTTTCCCATCTTGACAAAAAGATTCCCTGTTGCAGTCTCAAAGCAAGGGTTATTATTTCCATCTTAAAAATATCATACACAATGTCAATCCACTCATCCAAAGTAGGTTTTCCTGGTTTTAACCACATTCTGGTGTTGGCCTTCTTGTAAGCAGCACTCAGGATTCGAAACAGATATCTATCTTTAGAGGAAAACATTTCTGGTGGTAAAGCACCAAAATATAACGATTCAAATTTAAATGGCATGTCTACCTGAAAAACCTTTTGTAAAACTCCATGAACCTGCTGCCAGAAAGGATTCAATGATGTGCATTTCAAGACCAGAATATATGAAAATGGTTTGCGATAACTAAGAACTACATTTCCTTCCCTTTCCCATTTTTGTTTTACATACAGCGAGTTACCTTTTGTTTGTTGTAAACTCCTATAGATTTTTGAGACAACTTTCTTGTTTGAGCCCTCAAGATAGGCATCTTTAAAAACTTTTAACAAAGTGTTATCCCAGTGCACTTGTGTACTCTCCCTCTGTATTTGATCGATGTAATGAAGAACTTGAAGGAACCTGTAAAAATCATCACGTTTCAAGTCAAACTGCCCCTTCAGATTCTGAAGAAGAAATGTGCAGTGTAAGACCAATGAAGTCCTAAACTAATAAAAGATTGGAAACCATTTTAGATGTGTTCCCCACCCCCCGACGCTGTACCACCTTAGTACCTGAAGAGTCTAGTAACGGGATTAAATAAATATTTACATTAGAGCCTTCCGTCCTAGTTTCTTGTGCAAGACCTCTACTTTCCTCTATAAATGACTTATTATACTTCCTGTTTACTCTTCCTATGAGTGACTCATGAGACCTTGGGTTTTACTATTGCCACTCCAAGGGAGAGTCATGACGACCCTACGTACATTTACCGAGACCGATAGGTCTCTTCTAGTAACCTATGTCACGAGCGAATTTTTCTCGTTCGTTTTTCTCAATCTGTTCAAATTGTTCTCTTAATTTTGTTGACCTTGTTTTAGTATTTCTGAGTGTACTAGTATATTATTTTCCTTCGACGAGGTTTTCTTTTTCTTACTTTTGTTTACTTATACATGATTTCTACAGTTTTTGTCACGGTAAAAGTGTTTTGTCTTTTATGATAGCTTCCTCCTCCTTTATACGTCACTTTGACTAATCGGATATTCTCGACTTTTTTGGATAGTTCGTCTCCTTAAGTTAATTAATTTTTATTTTAAGGATAATGATTAAGGTATGTGCATATGATTTGATTTTCTTTATGGTTTTATCAAAACTTCCTATAATACCTTTTACGAAAATAGACGGGAACGGGTTCTGAGTTTAAACTCCCCTCTCTTCTACCTCCTTAAAGAAATTCCACCTAATGCAAGAACCGAGGAATTTGAAGCACTATTACACTACCGTCCCTTCCAGTCGCCATCAGTCCATATCGTGTAGAATTTTAAGCTTATTCACGAGGGTCCGGGCCTTACCCAAAGGAAGCCTTACCATTGTTCCACTAACCCTTCTCAATTAAACCATGGATGGTAGGATGAAATTGACTCCAAGAATTCCTCTCTTGTAATTTGGAGGGGGACCTTTCTTCCGTAGTAAAGTGAATAAGGTTTTCCTCCCTTTCCTATTTTGACTTACGTCAGTAAAATCTTCGGTTAATCGTCACAACTTGTCCTAAATATTTATAGAAAATGGGTATTAATATGATCGGTTGCTTTATCTCCGCTAAAGGCCGTAATGGGCGCTGTAATTACTAATCAGGAAACTAGTCTGCCCCTAAACATGCTCTGTCTGTAAGGAAAATAAAAATTGGGTCCTGTTATAGTCGTTCCATGTGAATGTATATTAATTGGTATAATAAGGTTCTGTTGTTACAACCTTCACAGTCAATAATCAACCACGAATCTACGTCTTTTTCGTAAAATTACACCAGTTATAAACCTGAAAGGGACAAATTTCATCAAAATTTATGTAAACCCTAAAGATGATCATGGAAAATATTTTTGATTCTAGTAACGAGATATAAAACCATATACTGGGTCCCGCTCTTAGTTTACTTGCCTACGAGCAAAGTTTAGGAAAGGTAACCTCGCCACCTTGCTCTGTCGCGACGGCGTAGATCGGAGAGAACAAAACACTAGAAATAAGCTTGGGAGACTCGGTCACCTAGAATTTATTTGTCATAGTTCCCTTATCATTACTTCCCCCACCTTGTTTTCTAGAGAGAATAAACTACTAAACTGTATAAACGACATAATAGGTCGGGTCTTAGTTAGAGACCAGTAAATAAAATAGTAAAAAATACTTGTTATACCTAGAACGAGACCATATGTTCACCTTCGAAAACTTCTTTGTGTAAAACGTCAAAAATTCATGACGGGGAGTCATTTTGACTTCTTGTTCGATATGTAACTCCACCCTACGACTTAGGGTACTCATAAACCCTCATTTATGCAAGGTTATCTATACTGTCTTTGGTCAAAAGTGAATTGATGGCATGGAAACTTCGGTCTCTTCCCCTCTCGTGCGTTCTGTATTCCTTCACCCCGGAACAAGGACAAGAGGTCAAAATCAAGTGCCGTAGACTTACGTCGCCAGGTTTACCCATAAAACGGCCCCTCTGACCGCATAGAGACACCCACAGGTCAGGGAAGCGTCGATCTTCGATTAGACTCGGTTAGGTAAAGTCCTTACCCTACTTGTATGAAGTTCCCATGTAAACCGTCACCTGCTTCCGCGTTCTAATTTATAGTCTCAAATGTTAACCGATTTTTGTTCCCTACCTACAGGCCCGTGAGGGCGTACAAAAAATCGATATAAAGCGCCGAGTTAAATCTGCGTAATATACGACCTCGTTAGATTTCATGCACGATCTACCTTCCTCTAACTCTCACGACATAGTCTTCTTAAAGCGTAAGTTCCGACGTAATCCCTATTCCAGAACTACTTAATTTGATTTGCTTGACTGCTTTGGCGTACCTAGACAGAAAGCCGAATTCCACACCTTCGTCTCGACCACTGGGTTTTACGTGAACTCCCTCGACATTTCACAAATTTCTACCACACACCTACTAGTCTGGAAGACCGGAACCTTCTACCCTGCGTTCTACATTCACAACCAGAGTTTTCCGGACTGTCGGAATGACGTGTCAAGAAGTTGGTCCTTCGTT